TCCTAGCTACGTGCCGGATCACTGGCCCTGCTCCCCGTAAGACTTGGGTCGCGCAATGGCCGCCATCAAAATTGTCCAATTCACCGAGGAGGCCACAGGAAGCCATCAGGTCTCCATAATGCCAGGCGAGAACCAGCAAGCACTGATGGCAACAGCCTACAGCCCAGCTTCCCACAGAGGTGGGCCTCGCAAGGGCTAGACATTGGAAATTGGATGCGATAATATAAGAAGCAAGCCAACGCCCATCTTCCCATCCAGGTGGGTCTCGCAAGGGCTGGCAGCCCAGCTATAATTGGTCAAATAAACAAGAAGGTTTGGCATTGGTCCCATTCGCCCAGCTTCCCGCAAGGGGTTTCGCAAGGGCAAAGAGAGTGCCCACGCCGGGTGCCGGCCAAATAACCAAAGACACATTAGGGCAGGCTTGACACTCGGAGGGGCAGTAAAAAGCACCGGTAATGTGTACACCGACACACAAGAGGCTAGCCGCACTAGAGCGTCGTCCGAGGCTGCCATGGCTCCACCTCTACTTGTGCTATAGCCGATGGCTGTGTGGCAAGTAGAAAACTGCGCGGACACTTGCTAGGCAGTGGCGTCAACCCCGTCATGTGAGGCAACCAAGCCAACGTAAAAACGTGGGACACTTGGGACAGCCTCCCGGGGCGAAGACGGTTTACGAGCCAAGGGGCCGCAAGTCTATGAACCGGTAAACAGTGCAAAGCCAAAATCCCCAAGGCATTTACACGTAGAATGCGGCCCAGCTTACCACACGGGTTTCGCAAGGGCAATAGCAAATGGCCACTGCGCCGAAAGGGCCAGGGCACATTGTATAAGGAGCAACCCAGCTTACCACAAGGGCATCACAAGGGTTCACGAAGTGACAGGCCGTAGACGCCCGTACAGTCATGGGAGCTCCGCCGGCACGTCTTCATTTTGGTCGCCCAGCTGTAAAGGCGGGCGTATCTGTGTGATTGGCAGCGCGCACTCGGGTTCCATGAGGAAAAAGGGCATCCCCCAGAGAGCAGGGCAGGCAAAGGACCAAGGTTGTAGCTCAATTAGCGCAGCCTGCAAGTCAGCGGTTCTAATACAATGAGCCGCACCACTGACTGATTGGACCACCCGGCACATAGAACGCGAGGTGGAAGCGATGGTGACAACTGCCATTAAATCAAACTGTTCAATGGTAGTGCATACTTGCACGCCAAGCCTCACCGCCAGGTGCACGTTCTCCGCAACACGAAAGCGATGTAACCGAAGCGATGCTACGTAAGCGACAAGCCGGGAGACATACTCAGCGTGCAATAGCCGGAATCGCTGGGTTGCTTCCCGACGTTCCTGCGACCCTATGGCACGCATTAACTGTCGGGTGGCCTCAGAGGGCAGGGCACCGAAGATCACTGGCACGGTTTGCACCGTGACTCGCAGAATAATCGAAGCCATGACATGTGACGGGATGTCCATGGCGCAAGCCTATTCAAGAATGTCCTCGGCAAGGATGCCCACTCGTAGCCTAAGGGCCAGGGTGGGCACAGGCTTGAGCAGGCACGTAGCAGACGAACTAAGGGCCTAGGGGGGGGTTGCATTGTGCGTGCTCGCTGTCCAGCATGTAGGCCATCTGGTGAAGGACAAGGCGCTTTAACTCCGCAAGGACGGCAAGAGACGCAACATGACCACCCACGCTGAGCACATCCCCGCCGTAGGCACGGCCAAATGTGTACCTTCGACACAGTTAATTTCGCCACCGTGCCGAAAGGGCCAGGGCAAAGAAGGGGCGAAGATGGAATGTACCCATAATGCCCGTCGTAATAATGGCCCGCGTACGGTCAGGGAAGGGGCTCAGCCCCTGACCCGTAGACGTCACAAGGGCGGCCTAGAAAGGGCGCCTTCCCCACACGTCTATAGCGCACCTGCGCACAACTACCCTAACCGGCCTATCGGGGGCTAACCCAAGTGCGGCGCTAATTCATGGTGCCCGTGGCATTCGCCGTAGGCGGGGGCGGAGTGGTAGGCGTGGGCTCTGTGTTTATTGGCGCACGAAGCCGCGTGACAGGCAATTCACTGAGCGCCGTCATCGGAAAATACAGCCAATGAGCCAGCCCAGGCCAGCCCGGGACAAGCGGCTGCATCGCCTCTCGAGCGCGGCGTGTAGCCTCCGCGCGGAAGAAGTCCGCTCCCCCGTAAAGAGCAATTACCGCCGAATACAGGCGCCTCGAGGTTGATGCCCACGCCATGAGGGTCGGGAGGTCCAAGTGTAGGATGGTGACCCTTACCTGAAAACCGAGCCGAACAATCATAATGAAGCTCGTGTCAACCCAGACCCTATGGAACCTGCACGCTGCCAGGGAGAGCTACCCTGCTCCGGTAGTCTGCCTGCGTCCGCTGCAGTGCAGCTCCAGCACAACGGTGTTGTAGTGCTTCCGCCATGGTCAGTGAGCGGCCAGCATCGTTGGACGCCGGGGCACCAAACATCACGTGTACAAGACATCCAGATTATATTGGTATTGCAGAATGTGAAGTGGTACCAGGTCAGGGAGGGCCATGGCACCCGCCGACGTACTTTCTACCGAGCCAGAACTGCGGGAGCTGAGCAGCTCTAGATGTCTATAGGCTAGCACCGTGCGTGCGAGGCAATTGAAACAGAGCACCGAGAGCCCGCTGAGCCAGGCCTTTTGTCGCCATTTGCTAGTCCGTGGTGCGCCCATAGCCGAATGGCCAGGACGACACTCCGTACGCTGACAGCCCCTATCCTTGTGGAGCACTGTTCACTCTCACTCACTTAAGGCAAGCCGGACGTGCGGAGCGTGTCTTCGCCAATAGTGCTCCGCGAGGTCCAACAGAAGCCTGCGGAAGTACGCCGGGTCGTCCATGTGGTCGTCATTGAGCGTGTAGAGAAAGGCCCAATCGCGGGCCTTTTCCCGTCTCTCCAGCAGGTGCCTTTCGTAGTAGTAAACGGGCGAGGGCCCGTGGTATGTAGGGACCAGGCGGAAGCTCAGGAATTGATAGTCCAGCGAGCCCGCCAAGAGCCACAAACTGGCGAGCTGCCGCAACCCACTCCTCTATGCGCAACCCTTGTCCAAGGGTGTGTGAGCGATAGTGTCGCCCGCTCTTCAAAGGGACATCGAAGAAGTTGCGTCTGACGAGCTCCGCATGCCGGCCCTTTAACACGTGCGACCCCAAGAGGTAAAATCTCTCCGGGTAATACAAGGAGATTCGCTTAGGGCCAGGCAGCCAAACCGCCAGCGCCTTACGCAAATCATAACCTTCTTGACGTGTCCACTGGCGGACCCTCGCCAGTGCACTGGAGAGCAGCCCGGCGGGTTGCAAGCTCATTGCCGTGGCCGGAACGAGGCCCAGCGCCTCCTCACTCAGTGGGAGGTATATGCGAAAGCGTCCCTGATACACCGGCGGATGCTTAAAAACATCCGGGTTCACACACGGGTGGTGGACGGCAACAATGCCGCGCTCCCAACGACTTCTAATCCTGGCCCCAATATGCGCCTGCAGTGGACAGAGCTCCTCCGCAGTGAAGGTGGCAGTGATCCGAATCCCGAGTTGGCCCTGGCGGCCCTCGTCCGCAGCCTGCTCATCAAAGCACTGAAAGCCCCAATCACCGCCAGGTGGGGGTACTCTTGTTTGCGGTCAATTAGCCGACGCGTCACATATAGCAACACCTGGATAGGAAGCAAGGCGTTACAACACTGCAGTGGCGAGATTTTGCGACTAGGGCCCCCAAGTGCCATGACTATGAAGCTACCATCCCTGGCCATGGTAGTATCAAGGGTGGCCTGATCGGAGTGCTGCCACTGAGCAACAATCTCATCGTTACCCTGCTTCGTCACATGAGCCATGCAGGAGGCAAAATAAGGAGCCACCACCACACCTGAGGGCGTGCCAACTCACGCCAGCTGAGACCGTATGCCTTGTCGTCCGCAAGGTGTTGCAGGGGCTCGCACAACTCCGCTAGGGCAGCACTGATGGCGAGCAGCGGATTGACGCACAGACGCCAAGCCTCGTTTTCCGTGCAGCACCGCAGCCGCATGGCACGGTCCGCGAAGCTGGTAATACCGAAGCCAAACTGGTCAACATTGACTCGAAGCGAACCGGCAGTTAGGGACAATGGGAGTGACAGTAACGTGTCACAGTCCGCCTGGGAGGGCAGTACAACGCGCAAGTGGTCAACATGCGCCGCAGCGTTCCCCATAGGAGGGGGCGCCCCGGCGCCCCTGCCCGCGTCCGCCACTCCTGAAGTATGGCCCTCTTATCGTTCAAAGATCGTGCTTTGTGTTTTGATGTCAATCGTGTTTGAACCTTCAGGGATGAATGCTTGCACTCACACATGTCACATGCAAGAAGTTAAAGCTCGACGCTATTTTCACACGGTGGTGTAGCAAGTACCGCACACGGCAGATATCTTCGAACTGTCGGTCCTGTGAGACACAAGACTCTTTTCGTCCCCTCCGAAAGGAGAACTAGCCACTCTCAAGCCGTGCACGGCTCACAAATGAACCTTAGTGAACGGCCTGCCAGTCGAAGACGAGCAAGACCGAGCGAACTGCGAAGCAGAGAGCCAAGACCCGAACCAGGTCTTATGCACAAAGCATACCTGAGTGTCCTCAAACTGAGGTCCAAAGCTTCCTGAAGTAGCACAACACTGAGGCAATCTCTGCATGGACCACAAAGCAAAAAGGGTGGAGAGGGTGGGTATTTCAAATAAAACTCTCGCCCGATTCAGGGCTTCCTGCCCCTTCGAGAGGTCAAGCTGCAACGGACGAATGTATTCTTCAACTGGTTTACAGCATGTATGAATGAGGGTTCATGAAAAAGGCAATGTAAAAGGAAAGCCCTAAAACAACAAATCAAAATTGAACTCAGTTCTCTGAGTCATTTTGTCATGTTGTTTTTTCTTCGAACGATAAAGCCATATCTTCTGCAAGTGTTCAAAGAATGTAACTTATCGTTCAAAGATCGTGCTTTGTGTTTTGATGTCAATCGTGTTTGAACCTTCAGGGATGAATGCTTGCACTCACACATGTCACATGCAAGAAGTTAAAGCTCGACGCTATTTTCACACGGTGGGGTAGATTGGCGGGTGATGCCACTCTCGCATACCACGGCAAGATGCCGTGGACATACTCCAGGAAATTGACTTCATCGATAAGGATCCCCGCGACCCCTTTCTTCGACGAGCCGGCAATGTATGCATGTCTCGCAGCATCATTATCGATATAACAAATCACTCCAGTTCCAGCAACAGCACCTGGCTGTTCGTATGATTCTGCGAAAGCAGCCGTCTTTTCGACCAAGAGCTTGAGACCGATCAAAACCCCGAACATTTCTAGCTCATATATGATGGTATGCTCATCTTGCAACGACATAGACTTGGCTTGCTGCTCTGAGATCGGCACGCTGAAGAAAGAGAGTGCCGAACCTGACCCGGTGAGAAGGACGCCCCCCAGGCCTCCAGTTCCAGACTCCGTTTCAAACGCCGCATCGGTAAGGATCATAAAAGTCCTGCATGAAACTTGTCCCACTAGCCTCGGTTGAGCCACGTCAAGGAACTTACCAAACTCTTCAAGTCGTTCCTTGGCCATCGACGAAAGCTTCAACCTGCCAGTGTAGGCATGCTTTGTCACCTCCGTCAGGCACCTTCTTCCCAGCCTACCGAAAAACTGGGCTTGAGCAAACTGCAATCTGCCCCGCAGTTGTAGAGCTTCCTTCTGAGTCATGGTTCCCTTGGCCAGAAAACCTTTGATCGCAGCAGTGAGTTCCTTGCGTCGTTTCTCAGTGTTCCTGACCTTCAGAACTCCGGATCCCGTTTGGTCAAGCTCGAACAGAACACCAAGTGCCTCGAAGCTAGTGTTCCACTCCGTTGTCTTATCCGCTGACAGCTTCCAACCTAACAGCTTCATAACTTCATCGAAAGCGTGTGAACACGAACTCCTATCTCCTCCAAGGGCGAGCAGAACAAAGTCGTCGAAATAATTCGTGGTCGGGATTTTGGCCCCTTTAACCAATATAGTCCAGAGAGCCCTCGCCACTCTGAGGAAGAAATACACGGCCTTGGTAGAGCCGAAAGGTACAGCTAGTTGTTGGAACAACTTGGGCTTCTCCTCTGCCGGGTCGTAGACCGAGAGGAAAGAAAAATCTAAACTTGTATCCGACACCGCCAGTTGTCTGTAAGCTCCCTTCAGATCCGCTGTTTTCCCGTACAATGCGTTCAAGTTCTTCTTTCGAGCAGCACTCGAAAGTGTGTTTATCAACATAGCAATTTCGTCGATAGAGTGCGTGATGGGCTTTTCAGAGACTGTGACCGTATCGTTGATCAAACTCGACGAGTAGTTGTCAATAGGACGCAACTTCTCTCCTTGTAGCAACGGAAAACGGGAGCTGACCAAACATCGTTTCGGCAACGACTCGAAATCATAAGGTCCAGAGAGGTATCCACTCTGTACCTCTTCCATCGTCTTGTCCCACAACAGCTGATCGATTTCCTTATCACCCGATGAACCAGTCTTCACCCGGATCTGTTGTTTAATTTCATCAGACATTCCCAAAAGCTGTTCAGTGTCCAACCTAGCAGGCTTGAGCTTGGTATCCAGCACCCCAGTGATCGGGATGTCCCCTGTCAGGGTGGCTCCGTCGATGAGTTCCTGAACCACACCCATATCATCATACCCAATGTCTCGCAGCATCTCTTCGAACAATAAGATACGTTTGGGTTGAAGGATCTTCCTTCTGTGATCCGACATGCCAGCTTTCAACTTGGCTTCCTCGGGTTCCAACTCTTTGGCTCTTCTGGCCCACTTCTCGATGTAATTCTTCCTCTGAGAACGAACCATCCCCGGTTTGTGTACTAAGTCATGAACGAGGTCTCTCAGATCCTTGTTGCACTTGGATAGCTTATGGTACGGGTGTCCAATCTTACCTGCTTTGGCAATGAATTCGATGGGATCCCAGGGGATGCCCACTCGCAAAACCGAGGCTCCATTCAAGTTCTGCATTTCCTGCTGAAGTTGCGGGCTCAATTGCCCCCCTGACTGAGTACGCGACAGAAGCTGGGAATCCTGCGGGAGCGCCCTGAGCTCCGGCAGCACACGGGCGCCGTGCGGGACCTTCCAGTCCTGTTTAAGGCGCTTCGACCCGCCAAACGGGTCCTCAACCTGCGGTGGCAGAAGGACATAGACCACCAACTTCCACTCAGACACCACCTCCGGCATCGCCCCACGTGGCTGACTCATAGCCGAAACTCGCAATGATTTGTTAGTCAAGGCCGGGCTACGGCACGGCAACTGTCGTTGAGTCAGACCGGCAATAAAAACCTCAGCTACCGCCGTGGCAAAAGCCGGCGGGTAGCCTGTCTGCGCCTCCGGGCGCTGCTGTGCCTTATGTCCCACAGGTACTGCCTCCCTGCGCACAGTGAGGACTTCTGGCATATTAGACAACACGAGGCTGCGCTGTTTGTTGTGGGGGTCCCAAAACCGCCACTCCACCTCCACTCGATGCGAAGGGTGCTGTGCTGACGGTAAGCGATTCAAACTCTCCCAAAATGGGGAAGACACCGAACCCTCAAGAACCAGGGGCAGGTTGTTGCTTAAGCAGCCCGCCATCACGGCCAGAATAAAGGCTGTAGTGACAGGTTCCGAAGCATGTCTCGGAACGCAGAGCATAACACCCGCAATCTTGCGTTTGTCAAGCCATGTTAGGACAGAGTCACAAGCCTCCCGCGTCGACAAGTCCATCTGAAGCACTGGAGCCATAGCCGCCTTCTGTTTGAATCGGTCCACTCCATAGGAAAAGTAGCCCTGCTTAATCAAAGCTGAAGCCACACGAGCCTGGCCTGCAAAACACTGCAAAATGGCCCGGATGGGCTCCTGACTCTGAGGGGCCGGAGAATTGTCCTGCGATGCCACGAGAGGTGAGGGGAGCGCCCCCTCGCTCCCTGCATGCTTCAAGGAAAACGACTCAGACGAAGCACTCGGCATCGTAGAGGGATACAAAACTGTAGGTTCTACCAAAATCGGAGAATCGTCGACATCCACCATCTTAGAAGCAGGGTCCACTCCCACTCCACAAGGTGGCGAAGCCGGGGCCGCGACATCAGCTACAGAGATACCACCTGAAACGGGTTCTTCCGAAGATGTCATCTCCACGTCCGACGCCAAAGCGACGGGACAAGGCGGGGAATCCGCTAGTCACAGCTTCTTAGGCTTCAAAGGACACTTACCCACAGGGTGGTCACCTCCGCATTTGAAAATGCAGCAAGTGTGATCGCCCTTCTGGCAGTTTGCATCCGAGCAAGTTCCGAGGTTAAAGCCATAACAGACCTTGTTTCCTCTATGATTCCATGCAGAGGCTCCCTGATAGCGAAGTCCCTCAGGTAACCATTCCGGCTTGCCAGCCCCCGAGCCTTTTCCCTTAGGCGACTTGCCCTTAGCTTGCCAGGTGTTCTTGCCTTTCCCAGTCCAATTATCAGAGCCTTTGGAGTTCCAACCTCCCTTACCTTTGCCATTCTTCCCCTTCCAGGGAGCAGTATCGCCGTAAGGGCCGGGACGGCCGCCTCGGCCGTTGGCATTCTTGCCCTTACCGTCCAGGTCGCCCATGGGCAAAAGGGCTACAATTAGGTCGTAATCATGAAGAATAGCCCCGATCGCTGCATCAAGTGGGAGAGTGCCTGAGGCGTCCGCCCGGATGTCTTCACCTGCCTCCGACAACTTGGAGAAAGCGAGCTTGTCAGCCCGCAGAATCTGACGAAGAGACACTTTCCTGTAACCAGGCTGAGCAGGTTTGGTAAGATATCTGAACAAAGAGGCAACATAAGCTTCATGTTTCTCCCAACTAATCAAGCGAGCAAATGCATAAGCCACTCCTCTGCGGCGCAGGGCATTAAGGACTTGCAAAGAGCCCTCAATATCGCGATCATCCATACCAGCAGCCTCCGTAACCTTCAGCTTACCGCCTTCCAAGGACAGACTGGTGGTCAAAGGCTTGACGTTCTGAACCTCATCCTCACGGCTATGACACTTCTCTGGACCGATGTACTTCAGGCACCGACTCTCCCACTGCTGAACGGCCATGTCGAGTAATGCATGACTCGGCTCGAGCTGTCCAGTGAGCGAAACGCCGGCGAGCTGAGTCCGGAGCTGATCCATGCGAGCATTCCGCTCGGCTACCCCCACCTTTTTAGGGGAAGCGTGTTCAGCCGGTTCTGCTAGATCCTTCAAAGAAGCCACTAGCATGGTCTGAGCTTCCAAGATCAGGCGCCGCAAAGACGCCTTCTCGCCCACTGTGATGCCTACCAACAGGGCCTCGCTCCACGTGTCAAACTCAGTCTGAGATAGCACCTGTCCCGGTTGTCCGACACAGAAGGCCAGCTGGGCCAAAGTAGACACTCCTTTACCTTTCAAGGCATCCACTACTCGCTTGGCGAGCGAGATTTCATCCGCGCGCTGCACAAAGAAAGGCGCCGAATCTACGGAACTCGTCATGGCTAAGTACCTGGCAACCGAAAAAGCTATCGAGGACGCAGCTCTCACAATGCACACCGAGCACTAGAATAGGGCAACCGTTGGCTTTTCGAGCAGGCCAAGAAATCAAACTACGCTCTGTGGGAAACACTTGGAACACTGCGGGTGCGCTTGCGCCCTAGCCATAGGAATACGCCGATAATGATCGCCAAAAGCTCGGCCACACAAGAACATTGCCGACCCCAAAGTCGTACGATGTAGGACCTGGCTAGTCGGATGAGCCCAGAAGGATTGTTCCTCCGGGGTTTCTTCATCAGAGTCTGAAACATCAGAAACCACAGCCAAAGCCTCATCTTGATCGTCCTCCACAGCCGCCTCCAGGACTTCCGAGTCCTGCGGAAAAGCAGCTGCCTGCAGGATAGATTCCCGAGTCCAACCTGATGCGAAATGACCCGACCGAGTCTGGTCCGGCAGGAACTTACCCGTCGCGACTGCATCCAGCACGACAACATACTCACGCAGTGCCGCGCTCTGCAACTCGCGTCCATACACTGCATCGCTGCCAGTCGCAGCGTCCGCGTGATGGCCTAGAACGCGCTTGGTTTCGCGAAGCATCCCGAATTTGCTACACCAAACAAGTGAGGTAACCTTCAACGAGTGCGAACTCACGGCCTGTTCCGTCGATGGACGTGGCAGTAGATACCTCAACCACCTGGTAATTTCGCTGCTAGACAGCGGGTCGGAGGACCACGATCCATCCGGCAGAGGCGCCGGCAAAAATGGAACATCCGCCTGATCATTCGGCAAACCGGCCTCAGCCCTAATGTCCAGAAGAAGCTGACCAAAAGGTGTTTTGGCAATACCCTGGCCAGGAATCAATATACGACGTCGCTGAGTGTCCAACCTGGACGTCTTGTGTTCCAGCGTCCCTAACTCAATGAAACCCGAACTCCAGTCCTCGTTGTGCACATCGATCAAAATACTTTTGACACACCGGATGTCCGATGCTCTTGCCCTCGCATAGAGCATGGCAAGAAAATGCGCCGCCCCACATCTATCAATGACAGAAATAGAGGGATCACAACAGATCGCATGCAGTTGGAGAACTTCGGACACCTTGAGGGGTGACGCCGGGCACCACGGGTTTTTAGTCTGTAGCGCCTTCTTCACCACACCATGAATTCGCGGGCTGCTGAAGACCTCTAGTTGAACACGTAGTCCCAAGGTATAATAACTCCACTTGATAGCACGCAGACTACTGTCCAGTGTGGTAGCCGCGGTCTTAGGCATCTTGAGGACACAATGGATGAAAGACCACAAGACTTTCTCCGCAAAAGGCGGGGTACAACTGGCTTTCAAAAGCCACTCGCAGAAAGTACGAACCGGACCCAGATGCTTCAAAATGGTATTCGGTGATTTTCCTGCCAAAACTGCCTGGACAGAATCCTGGCCGTCCTCCTCGTCATCTGCCATCAAAGCACACAGGTCGAAGAAACTCGAAAAGGCATGAAGTAAAGTGAGGACCCGGCGGTACGCCTCGTCACGACGATCCGCGGCCCTAGGCCCTCTTTTGGCCTTGACTGCACGAGTCCATGCCTGACAATGAGATCCACTCGTCACCGAATTTCCTGAATCTGAAGGCTGTGCTGTTGTCTGAGGAACAGGCGACGCAGGCACCACTCCCTGATAAGGCAAGTTCAAGCCCTGAGGGAAAGCCGCCTTCAATGGGTCGAATATGCACAGCATAGCCGGCTGTTCCCAAGGCTGCCGAGGCAGCGACGACCGAGCGTGTGTGATGCTTCGCATGAACACTTCATTGTCACTCGCTCTAGGGTCATGGCCAGACATCGCAAGAGACCCTGGCAGGAACTACGGCCCACCAGACAGGTCATGGCTTGAACCAACGATAAGTGAACAACAGGTTGTCATCAAAGAAACTCCTGTCGCAGGGGATCTCCCCTCACTGCACATACGAGATGTAGCAGAGATCACTCAGGTCTAGCCCCTCCTGAAACGGGACACCGGGCATAACTTTTCATGTCGCGATTCCCGACAGTCTGCCACTTCCTCGTGGTTCATACGGATGAAAGCCACCACCTCTGGTGTGAGCAATGCCAACAAAAACCAACTAGCAGGGTATAGGTCTCCAAGAGATGACTCAGCATAACATCAACAGTAGCTTACAATGACAACAATGCTCACATCTGCAGGGATAACGCCGCTTAGCACGGCCACCCTACTGCGATTCCTCTCATAATCGCGTGTTTTGGGGAGATCAAAAAGTGATCCCCCGACCTGACCGATCCAGCGTCCCGGCAACAGATCTGCATCATATCATTCCCCCCCTCCACAGCGGGGGTGCTTCGTGGCAACTCGCACTCTACGAGGACAATCGCCCCGCCCAGGGCTTTGGCCCGACTCGCGCATTTTGTCGCTGCGCTTTCTAGTGCATCCCGCGACAAGGTGACCAATGACCCTCTTGCCGAAAAGCCGAAGCAGGGGGTTCCCTGATCGCGATAATCGTTTACCGCTATCTCCCCTATCTCGGCCACGCCGACCAAAGATGGGAAAGAGGTACCATGAGCCATGACAGCCGAATGTGCCGAGTTCGAATTACGGATATAGCTTGGCCCGCGCAATTCGCAGGATAAGATCAAAATCCGTTGCCCAGGCACTCGAAAGATATGGCCATCGGGTCCGACGACGCCCGCCACAGGATTGTCTCCCTCAAGGGGGCGGCCGTAGTGCCGAAAAGCAGCAAGGACTGTGACCACGCGGGAAATCACAGAGGCCGGTATCGGGCCTTCCATTCCTTCCAAGAACTCCTTGTAGCCATGCGTGTCCGGAAGCTTCTCGGCGATGGTCTTCCAAGGCATCTTCCACCACCATTGCAGTTTCCCCTGCTCTGCCAGCTCCCGAGCTGACAATGGGCGAGTGGGGTCTGCGCGCGCTTCATCCTGCGCCGACTTCCACAAGGCTGCCATGTACGACTCTTCGTCGTCCGCCTCGTCCTTCTCAGCCTCCTTGGCAGCCCGACGAGCGTCGGCCGCGGCCACTTCAGAAGGAGTGGCCTCCGCAATGTTGTGATGGTCTGGATCCGTCCAAGAGGACTGCTGGCCCGACCCTCGAGGGTCATTCGACCCCTGACTGGACCGATGCCACTGGTTCCAGCGCTTGCCCCATTGGCCTTGCTGCTTCTGCTGGCCTCCTCCGCGCCAGGACTGGCGATTCCCAAGAAGTCTGCTGCTGGGGCACATGCACAGTAGGGGCAATCGGGGCAGGCGTCGAGGGAGGCGGCAAAGGTGGCTGCACCGGCGCCACTGGTACTTGCCTCCATTCATATCCCGGCGCTGCAACCGGCAGCTGAGGCACCGGCGGGGGAAAAGGCGCAGCGGCTCGCGATCCCCCCGATCTTGATTCCCGGTCGCGTCTGCGATCACGGTTTCTGCTCCTCGAGCGCTCAGAGCTACTCGATGGAGAGCGCCGACGGCGCCGACGCCTCTCACCACCGAACGGGGGCATCATCGGCCCCATCGGTCCCATTTGCCAAGGAAACATCCCTGCGTCACACCTTCAGCACGTAGCTGAAAACCGGGCTCCAGCCCTCCGAGACTCTGTCGGCGCTTCGGCGCCTTGCCAAACACACAGCACCAGGCTCCTGCCTTGCTTGCTGCTCTGAATCTGTTTTTTTTTTGGGCCGATATCAAACGGCAACCGAATAGCTCATGTAATGAATGCTTCTGCAAACTGTCAGTACGCAACCTCTGGCGCACACGCTCAGCAACACGCGCTCTTGCGCCGGTTTTCTCTCCGAGACCGAGTCGTTGTCCCAACGCTCAGCCGTGAAGACCTAAGCGTCACAGCAAAGAAGGGCAGTATCACTCAAACCAACACATCGCTCCATCGACAGAGCCCTTTCTGGCTCCACGGCACTGCAAGATAAGGCTCCGAGCACAAGAATCCTAAGGATGAAAAGTACACTGAGACCGGCAGTGATACCGGCAAAAAACGGAAATTCACTCCTCAACCCGGCGGTCTCCGATCCGCCCGAGCAGCACATTCGTGAAGGTACGCAAAATGACAGCGGCATCGAAGCTGGGCTCTCACCAACATTTTAGCTGCTGCCCTCGGGTTGCCACGGCTGATCCTGGCATGGTGCATAACCGCCGCCGTGTGAGCCTCCACCGTGTATGTGCTTGCAGATTGCAGGTCAATGTCGCGGGAAACCTCAGCAGAAGTAGTAGCAGCAGCAAAAGACGGAGTGAGCTCCCCAGATGAAGAAGCTCCTGAAACCGTCGGCTTCCGCGAATCCGACTCTCGCAAAACATCAGCCTTGGCCTCAATGGCGGAGCTATCCGAGCCCGATGCAGGGCTCTTCTGTCTCGCCTTGCTATGCTTACGGGAAAACTTCTTTTTCTTCTTCGTCTTCTTCTTCTTAACCTTCTTCCCAGATTTAGGAGGAGGCTCCGGACTCAACGGCTCGAAAGCCGAGCTCCACGAAGACCAAGACCTGTCGTCCTCATCAGCCGGCCCTGTAACGACCGACATTGCACCAGTCTGAGAAGCAGACGGCTACACGAGTGCACGACAACACGGTGTAGAAAGCAATCCTCAACTCAGCACCACGTACAATCAGCAAGTTCCTGCAGCGAAATCTACACTCCACTCAAGCTTTTATGCGGTGCGAACAAATCTCACAGGTGACAATGTGCTGGCCACTAGCACTGGAGCTGAAAAACTCAGGTGCCTGCCATCCTGGACCAATTGAAAAGAGCTTAACTTAGGGAAGCTACCAACAAGCTCGAAAAGACGTTGTGACACTAAGTACTTCGCCTGATCGATAATGTCTCTGCAACTCAGCTGAAGATCGAGCGTGATGGGCTTATAGCCAGTTAGGCGATCAGCAACGACCACCTGCATCCGGAAGATATACTTCGGAGGCGTATCCCAGGGCAAGTCTGCCTCGCCCGCCTTTCTCTTCCTCTGATCAAGAAACACGCCGTGCAAAGGGTCACTACGGGAGCTGAGGCTCCAGCAATCCTCGAGGAACCGGCTCCGGATCAGAATTGCGGCCAGCCCGAAACTTCCAATGAAGAAAACAAGACACCAGCATCTGCTGAGACTCCAACCGTGACACGCGATCGAAAAGGCGGTCAGCAAGCATGAGCTGCATTCTATGCAGCCGACAAATCTGGATCTGTAATCCACGCATGTGACGTAACACAAAGCTCTCAGTGGATGTAAACGAATCCGAGGGCGTCGGCGCCTCTGCTTCTTCTCCAGTCACTTCAGGTGATTGCATGCTCCTGAACCACAGTCCAGTGTAAAAATCAAACACCGAAAAACCAACGAAGCTTCAGCTAAGTAGGCAACCGCGAGATCACTCTGCAGGTTGAGCAGGATACTGTAAGCTCAAAGCTCAAGTCGCACTCAAGCAGAAGAATCACTTCATCAAGACCTCCCAGCGAGAGACTGAGGCACAAGCATCCGGCCCGCCCCCTATTTCAAATAAAACTCTCGCCCGATTCAAAGCTTCCTGCCCCTTCGAGAGGTCAAGCTGCAACGGACGAATGTATTCTTCAACTGGTTTACAGCATGTATGAATGAGGGTTCATGAAAAAGGCAATGTAAAAGGAAAGCCCTAAAACAACAAAACAAAATTGAACTCAGTTCTCTGAGTCATTTTGTCATGTTGTTTTTCTTCGAACGATAAAGCCATATCTTCTGCAAGTGTTCAAAGAATGTAACTGAATGATTAGCGTGGCTGGATCGTCGGTGGCAGCTACGTTGCTCGCAAGCTCCGTCAGGTCAGGCCGGTGTCGCGTAGGGTGTTCATCGACTGCCCTGAGCAATGCCTCGAGGTCTTGACTCCAGTTTGTGGGCTGGAAGACCCGGTGGCAGCCAGCGCTGTAGAGCTCGTCGGCAAAATATGGGTCCTCCTGAACCCCAGCCCCTGCGCTGATCGTTTTGCTTAGAATGGCACGTCCCTTTCTGTGATAACCTGCCCCCGCCAAGCCACAAGACAAAGTGCCAGCATCACTGAATCGGAACTGGGCGACGTCATAGTCGGGGCCCACAAGGACCCGCAGCCTATGGCGGAGCTTTGCTTTATTTCAAAAGTAAGATTCCAATCACAGTATTCCCAAACTATATGGGAAAATCAAAGTATATAAAGAATAAGAAAATTGCTCAAGCAGATGTGGCGCTTTTTCCTTCCGGCAAAGCCGAAGGGGGAAGTCGTGACATCCCCGCACCGATCGATGGCGAACACGAGGATCGCCAACGAACACCCCGGGAGTGGAGGGAGGGACAAAAATTTCCGGCCCTTTGGCCAGGGAGCAGCTACCCACCCATCCCACCCCTGTCTCGAGGCGGCGCGGGAAATAAAAGAGATGAACTCAGACGATTCAAAGCATGCATTCATGCCATGAAATGTGGTTCAAAATAAAGCAAAGGTGTTTTGAAAACTTCGCAGTAATTTTCAAAACTCTCCTAGGAAAATAAAGCTAGTAGAGGCAAGCCTCATGCGTCGCTTATTTTCCACGGAGCTTTGCTTTGTTTCAAAAGTAAGATTCCAATCACAGTATTCCCAAACTATATGGGAAAATCAAAGTATATAAAGAATAAGAAAATTGCTCAAGCAGATGTGGCGCTTTTTCCTTCCGGCAAAGCCGAAGGGGGAAGTCGTGACATCCCCGCACCGATCGATGGCGAACACGAGGATCGCCAACGAACACCCCATTCACTTAAGAAGGAGATCAATCGTGGCATTGCCTTTGATCGGGCATCGAGGCGACACTCTGCACACCTGCCCCCTGACTGGAAAGATTGACTTAGCTCTCGAAGGAGGATCGGCCGGGTTGCTTGCACTTGGAACGCGGCTAAACCATGGGAGCATCGCCTCAGCGTCGCATCTCTCAAAGATCAGCAAGAGTTGCCTCCACAAAGGGTCTTTTGAAGAGCCTTTCACCAAAGAGGCCAACACTCCGGAGTGATCCACATACATGGTCACCCTCTGCATGTTCAAGTGCTTCGACCACGCTTCTCTCGCACATACCACTGCATACATCTCAACTGGGCCTATCAAATGCCTTTTCCCGAGAGCCTCCCAGCTCTGTACAACGCTCAAAGGGATAGCACATGCAAAGAAGAAAGTGCACCACGCGCCGTTGTCGAAATGGTACAAGACTCCTCCGACAGTGGCAGGGTGAGTTTCATTCGTCGGCTCATACGCTCCATCTGTGAAAATCACAGAACGGCGAGACCCCACACAGGCCGGGACTATCCTAGGGGTACCCCCAAGAACCCGGGACCTAAGATTACAAAGGGCCTGCACAGCCGTGGCATCAAGGGCTTTGGCCTGAGAACTCATCGTGCACGCCCTAAGGTCGGCCAGTGCCAATCTGCCCAATCGCCCGTGCAGCTGACCCTCGGCAAACTGGAGGCGACCGAACAAAGACGGCAGAGTCTTCGGATCAAGATGGCCCGCACTCAAGACGGAGTCCACCGCCTCAGCGATGGCAGTAGCACGTTCGGGCTTATTCCCAATCTTAACTACCCCAAAGCCACCAAGGTCAACCCGAACGCCTAGAAGTTCGGCCTCATGGCTGAAGGGAAGATCCTTATCTTCTGCCCAGGCGAAACCCAGCAGGTCCAACGCGGCTCTGATAGTCGACTGCGTGTTGTTACAAAGCGGCAAGACCTCTAACACCGGGTAATCGTCGAAGTAGTTGCAGGCGAGCACCTGCAACGCAATCAGAACCCTTTGGAGCAATCTTGCAACGCGATTGAATGAAACCACCGACGAGGTGGCTCCAAACAGAAGGGTTCGGCTCTCGAAGCCAAACGCAAGCCCCGAAACCGGGTCCTTGATGGCCACTATGCTCAGACAGCGGTCTCGTGGAGAAACCGCCAACTGTTTATAAGCACTTTTCAAGTCCACTGTTTTCAAGCTCGGCTGAAGCGCATCGGGCTTCAGGGCCCTCCAAAAAGAATGCACCGGAAAGCGAAGATGGTCACCGTCCGACAAAGGGATGCTCACCTCGCCTTTTGCAATGAAGATCTTAAAGCGGGTGATCGCAAGCCAGACCAATTCATCAAGGGCCCTCAAAGAAATCCGATCGGAAACAGCATAAGCGCAGTTTACAGAGTTCTCGGCCAAATCGTCTATCGACCGCGTCTTGGCTTTTTGCACAATGCCGAACCTCCGCACCGGAAGCCAGCCTTCCGGATGACGGGCTTGCAGCTCGTCCCACGAGTAAGGCCCTGTCAGCCACTCCTTGACTAGCATCTCTTGCTGTGTGGAGTCCCACACTTCCCGAGCTAAATCGTCCACCTCCGCGTTCGCCACCTTCGCCCACAGCGCAGGCCTAAGGAATTTAGCATGCTGCACAAGCTCTGCCCTTGTCATCAGAGCCGGTTTTCTATCCACATCGAAGATGCCAGAAGGACTCGACTCCCCCACTAAAGGAAACCCATGCTTGAGGTGTTCGAAGACTTCAGTGTCAGGCCAACTGAAAGATGATGCAATCTTCTCCAAAAGCAAGATGTTCTTGCCCTTCATAACAGAAGCTACACCAGGATCCATGGCAGCATGCAGATTTGCTTCGGCACCAGCCAAATCGCGTTTCCAAGAAGTCCACTGCTGGAGCAAATTCAGACGGTGTTTCATCACACCAACCGGGCCCTCTTTCAAGGTAAAAGCCAACGCTCTCAACATGAAGTCTGGGACTGCCACGCACAAGTCGAAGGGATGATCGATATGCAATGCCTGAGCCACAAACTCTTGTTCCGTGCGGTAAATGCCAAAGGTAACTGCTGAAGGCACACCTGACAGGCTTCCGACCTGTTTCGCACCGACGACCCCCCGATCAAACACATCACAGAATTTGGGTGTGTACAAGACATCTGGTGCAAGCGAGCCCGCAGCGTGGGGCCCGGGGCGACAACGACATGCTGGCACCGGCATGCCAGCCAGCGCGGCCTGGGTTGTGCACAGACGTATTTTTACCGGACAGGGAGCCCCGTAGCAACCTGCACAGAAGTCTACGCAATGGAGGTTGTCGGGCAAGTCGAGCTGTTTCCACAGGGCTGACGCCAGGGGATGCAAGACACTCCAATGCGAATCACATGCAAGCAAGAGCTTGGCGAGGCGAATGGTCTGCCCGGCGCTAAAAGTAGCCTTAAAACAATCCTTGGTCGCAGGAAAGAAATGCACGTGAAAAGGGGCGTCTTGGCTGATGACAGTCTGCGCAAAGGAGAAACCCGACTCAGTTTCAATGTCCACAGGGACAAGGTGAGTGTGCACTCGCCCAGCGGGGCGAGAATGTTCAAGCGCTATGATTTGGAATCCGTCCCGCCGCACCCGAGCCCACAGCAGCCCGGACCCACACTTTATCTCGACATAGAGAGCAGAACCGGGCTTCAAGGGACTAGCAGGGTCGCTCACAGGTTCCTTAGGGCAAACGGCGGGGACAACCGAAGCGGGCAAGGGCCTAAGCGACTCCTGAGCTGCAGTAGAGGTCAAGGATGGCGGCTGACGAGCACACACTTCTGCAGGCGCCAACCGCGCGCCCTCGGGCGCGCATTCCGGAACATCAACATGACACTTGCGGAGAAAGTCAAGATGTTCCTTGCATAGGGATTCGACATGACGGATTATGAATGCAACCAGCAAGACTCTACGGCCTTGCCACGCCTCGGTGTAGTGCCAATTGTGTCTGGCATTGAATCGGACAGGGCCCTTTGCAACCTGCAAGCGAGAGCCTCGGGCACCATTAAGGTCAGATACATCCCGACCGTTTTCATGCTCCACAAAGATGGCTCCACCTGAGAATTCAGTCAGTGCAATCGCCAAGTTATGCAAGTTGGCATTCCACTGATCACGATGGCGCTCAGTGCGAACATCCTCGAATATATTTATTGAAGAAAATTTAAACCCCGGTGCACGCTGTCTCACAAACCTTGCAAAGACTTTGAGCGCCTCCGGGTTGGCTGAGGCATTGGCCTTCAAGCCCACATTACCACCAAGAACATACGCTCCCGTGGCATAAGATTTCGAAGTTGGGAGAGGTGCATCGGCACCCCTCTTCAAGGCATCCGAAGGAAGACCATCGAAGACTCGCAGAACATCGGTGGCACTCACATGACCCTCGTCAAGTGAAGAGCTCGCTGTGCCGCTCTGTGACTCCGCCCCGTCACGGGGCTTCGGGGACCTGCTGCGTGCGGCCTCCACCACACCTGGTGATGGCCTGGCGATGGCACTGTGAGAGCCAACGTTGTGCACGTGATGATCCTCTCGATCAACACCTGATTGCGGACGACAATCCACTCCACTCGGAGGAGAGCCGCCCGCGCATGCATTGCTCGGCCGATGAACTCCCTCTCGGAGATCATCCACCTGTGCTGTCCTCGCTGCCGGCTGATGCACACTCTCTGGAGCACCGGCCGCCTGCGAAGCACCCTCGAGACCAGCTAGTCACGAGCCACCCTGAGCCCGCTTTGGGCACTGCGCTGCACCATGGTTATGAGCACCGCACTTAGGCACTGCACAGATGTGCAAGCCCTTCTCGCACTTCTGCCCCTTCGTCGAGCAGCCTCCCAAGTTGAAGGCAAAGCAGATTGGGTCCCCACGATTAGTGTGGGACCTGCAGCCTTCCAAGCCGGCGGGCAACCTTGTCATGAACCTCTGCTTACCTTTCTTTCCTTTGCCCCCACCTTTGGTGTAAGGAGATGGCCTCTCCCACTTGGGAGCATCCGGCTTCTGGGGAACATCCTTTAGGGCAGGGGCCGGAAAAGGTTGCAATAAGCATGACACTTCGTTCATGTACATCGCATCCGGCAGAAGTGTGTCCAACGGGCGACCCGATGCGACGGTCTGCACTCCTGCCCTGGTCTTATCACGAAGCTCGGCAAACAGCTGCCTATCCGCCGACTCAAGCTGCTTCCAAGTGGGCCTGACAAAATGCTCCGCAGGCGTCTGCATGCGAGCCTTCATCAAGCGCTGAGTCCATTGGTCGGAGACACTGAAATCGATCAGGTTCGCCTGATCCATGGCCAGAGACCTCCTCGTGAGGGCCTGCTGAACAAGAATCTCTGATGAAGTATCCGCAACCAAGTCAGGCTGCTTATGCTCAATCCGAAGCTTGCCAGAGGACTCTTCGACCGTGAACCTAACATCTCGCTTCTTCTCGCCAGCCAATTCAGCTTCCTTTGACACACACCGGTCCCACGGAATGTACCTGAGCTCATTCGCCTCGTAGGAGGCCACAGCAAGGTCGACAAGTGCATCGGCAGGCTCCAGAGGCCCCTTTAGCGAAATTCCGACAAGCTTCTTTGCCTGCCGCTCGTAACGCTCAGACCTCTCAGGCTGCGACAATGGCCTGACAGTCGACTCGGGATCGGCCTTCTCGATCCGCTGCTTCATTTCCGCGGTCACAATGGCATAAGCCTCATTGTACACCGCACGCCAATTGGCCTTGTCTGCGATTGTCAGATCTCGTTTCAGGATATCCTTCAACACCCGCATCAAAGGCTCCTCGTCTGTCTGGCCAGGGGTGAAAGAAGAAATGAAAGCCAGCCTCCTCAAGTTTCCCACCTCAGGCAGAATTTTCAGGACATCTCCTTCCGCGAAACCCACGACGCTCAATCGTGACTGCAGAACCGATTGGCTCTCAGAGTAGTTCGCCATCTTCAGGAGAAGGACCCGGCTAGCAATCCGCTTAAAAGTCACATGAAGTATGTCAGCATGTTCTAATGCATACACAATGCGATGCGTGAGCTGGACTCCGGCCGACCAGTGTTAGCGCAGACTCTAAAAGACTGAGCCGACTCCTCGGAACAACGATGCCCTGTTCTAGTGCACATCACTCACGACCCTCGCATTCACTCAAGCTATCGCATCACTCAGCTCAGGAATCACGCTCCAGACACTCAGAAATCCCTTCTTTTCTACAGCATCTCCTCGGCATCACTTCTTAGGTGGACAGCAGCTCCTACACAACGGAAACAAAATTCGCGGGACGGAAGACAGCCTTGCATACCTGGTTGAGATGCTCCTGCCACATCTGAACTTGTCGCCCTCCTCGGACGCGACTGCATGAATGAAACGGCTGTCTTTATTCCTGAACAAAGGGACTGCCTCAAGCTCGGCCCGCAAGCCTGCATCGGGCTCCCATTGCCTCCCCAACTCATCGGCGGCGGCCTCCGCAGCTTCATGATCGACATCCTCGGCATCCTCGCTGGCCTCGGAAGAAGAATCCGACAGAACCTCGTCAGGAGGAATGGGCATCCCCTCCGGATCTCCAAAGCGCTTCACGAAGTAGCCGGACCTGGTGGCATCCGGCATGAACCTTTCGCGTGACACTTCGAGCAGGACCTCTTGCAGCCGGCGCACAGGAGCAGACATGTTGTCTCTCCCATAGATGATCTCGGTTCCATCACGGCCCCTGGCGTGATAACCAAGGGCCGCCCTCACCTCGCGGGCTAATCCGAATTTGGCGCTCCAACTCAAGGTCGTCGCCTTGAGACTGTGCGTCCCAAGCGGTTCGACGGAAGACCTGTCGCATCCTGCACGGATCAAGAGTGACTTCATCCATTTCGTGGCACTTGCCACCGCCAACGGCGCCGTTTGCCACCCTCCTCCAGAGAGCGGACTCGGAAGCAAGGGCTTACCCGTCCCCAAAGGAGGCCCATGCACTTTATAGAACTCAAACCACTTAACACCCCAGGGCACCTCGCCTATTCCCTGGATGGGAGCGAACATGTGCAATACCTGACCTTTCTTTCCAGTGAAAACGAAGTTTTGCTTCGCTCAACAGCAGCCTCAAGGTATCCCACAACGCCATCTGGGGTATCACTCAAGTCGCAAGTCATTGCACCTGCAGCCTGGGCATCTGAGTACCTCGCTCGTGCGTAAAGGGTCCAAACAAAGAAGCCGGCAGCGACCCGATCTGCGGGATCGAGATTGATCGAACCAGATGCAATGGCTTCCAACTTGCGCACATGATCAACTTTAAGAGCTGGCTTCTGTCGAGTCTTTCTCTTATCAAGATATAGCTTCGACGACAGCCCACGGACCCTGGGGCTAAAGACTTCATCGCTCACCTTCAAGCTCACAGTGAACTTTGCAAAAGCGAGGCTGCTCAAGAAGCTCCTTGCGAAAGTGGGCGCCTCGTGTGATGCATAGTCTTGAAGGAAAGCATAGACCCCGGCTTCGGTGACAGGGAAAGGATTGACCTGGTGACCTCGGCAATGCTTGACGTACCTGGCTATATAGAGGCCCGGCACGGCCTGAGATTGTGACGCTCGCCTTCTGAGAAAACACATCTTGCAATGAGGTCTTCAAGTCGGCATCTCGCCCATTTTCCCGGTCTAACCGAATCGACAAAGTCAAACCAAAATCCTCGGGGAACCTCTCAAGAATCCCAAGCCACTTTGCCAAAGCCGCCTCCCTTGCTTCGGAGAGTTTTTGATCCCAGCTCTGCCCCGGTGCATTCGGGACCCTCACTCCTGCAAGCCTGAGTGATTCAAGCTTTCCTGAAGACGACTTAACCGGCCCTGCAGGGACGGCCGGCCCCACAGGCATTGACACTATGCTCCCACCTTTGGCGTAAGGTGAAGGCAAAGCAGGCATGTCAAGAAAAGCAGAAGATACTTCCCACGGCATCTTAACTGCGTTTCCAATCCCTCGGGATGCCACACGAGTCGATGACACACAATGACTCTCATAAGCCCCAAGCACACGAGCCCTCTTGAGGCTGCTTTCAAGAGAGTCACCTCCCGACATGCTGGCTGCAGATCGGCCTTGTCAAGCCAGCATGGCCAACGCTACTCCCCACTTCTACAAAAATTTCCGGCCCTTTGGCCAGGGAGCAGCTACCCACCCATCCCACCCCTGTCTCGAGGCGGCGCGGGAAATAAAAGAGATGAACTCAGACGATTCAAAGCATGCATTCATGCCATGAAATGTGGTTCAAAATAAAGCAAAGGCGTTTTGAAAACTTCGCAGTAATTTTCAAAACTCTCCTAGGAAAATAAAGCTAGTAGAGGCAAGCCTCATGCGTCGCTTAGCCGACGCGTCACATATAGCAACACCTGGATAGGAAGCAAGGCGTTACAATACTGCAGTGGCGAGCTTTTGCGACTAGGGCCCCCAAGTGCCATGACTATGAAGCTACCATCCCTGGCCATGGTAGTATCAAGGGTGGCCTGATCGGAGTGCTGCCACTGAGCAACAATCTCATGAATAAGGAGCCACCACCACACCTGAGGGCGTGCCAACTCACGCCAGCTGAGACCGTATGCCTTGTCGTCCGCAAGGTGTTGCAGGGGCTCGCACAACTCCGCTAGGGCAGCACTGATGGCGAGCAGCAGATTGATGCACAGACGCCAAGCCTCGTTTTCCGTGCAGCACCGCAGCCGCATGGCACGGTCCGCGAAGCTGGTAATACCGAAGCCAAACTGGTCAACATTGACTCGAAGCGAACCGGCAGTTAGGGACAATGGGAGTGACAGTAACGTGTCACAGTCCGCCTGGGAGGGCAGTACAACGCGCAAGTGGTCAACATGCGCCGCAGCGTTCCCCCACTCCTTAAGTATGGCCCTCTGAATGATTAGCGTGGCTGGATCGTCGGTGGCAGCTACGTTGCTCGCAAGCTCCGTCAGGTCAGGCCGGTGTCGCGTAGGGTGTTCATCGACTGCCCTGAGCAATGCCTCGAGGTCTTGACTCCAGTTGGTGGGCTGGAAGACCCGGTGGCAGCCAGCGCTGTAGAGCTCGTCGGCAAAATATGGGTCCTCCTGAACCCCAGCCCCTGCGCTGATCGTTTTGCTTAGAATGGCACGTCCCTTTCTGTGATAACCTGCCCCCGCCAAGCCACAAGACAAAGTGCCAGCATCACTGAATCGGAACTGGGCGACGTCATAGTCGGGGCCCACAAGGACCCGCAGCCTATGGCGAAGGTAACTCATGAAGGGCTGCGTCGTGTGGTCGGTGGCGATGTGGGCCAAGTAGACGCTGCCTGGGAGCGAAGCTACCGCCCACATCGTATCATAAGAGTCGACGGTTTGCTCAGTGGCGCCTGGCGGAATCCGCATGCGTCCCAGGGCGCTGCGGGCATGAGGGTCAGCAAATGCCGCGTACAGACGTGTCGGAGGTCGTGCCCCCCGTCCTTGCCACTCACGCAGTCCATACAGTTGAAAGCGCTGTCCTTCATCGTCCGCGTCCAGCGTGACCGCGAAAGGAGTTTCCGTGTCGAATAGCGGGTAGAAATACGTGGCTTCCAGCTGTTGGCCACGCCTACCCGTGACTATTTGCTCCGGGCCTCTCAGGTGCACCTGTGCTCGATGCTGGCCATGTGCCTGGTCGAAGACAACAACCAAAAGGGCCGTGGCTTCGACCAATGGCGGGAAAGAGGTCAGGCTCCATTGGGACTGAAAGGCATGCGTCATCGCCGGATCCTGCCTGGCGTCCCGTGCCCAGTCGGGAGGTAGGCCCATACGCTCGTTGGCATCCGCCCAATGCATCAAGGAGCCTTGCAGGCGTGCGTGCATGCGCGCTCCGGCTAGGAGGCCAGACGAGTGCGCCAGCGAGACAATCAAGAGAGGGCCAGTGCCACGCGTGAGGGCTGCCGTAATTCTTTGATGAGCTGCCTCTCCACCGTGAAGTCACCAGCTCGGTCAATCATGCAAAGGCAGACGGCGCCTGTGGACCCTGCACACGCAGTTGCCGAGAAAAGGTCGATGAAGGGGCCGAGTTCCGCGTGCCTGCGGGCCAAGAACCGCCGCACCGCTCCTGCCTGCTGTACCGCGTTGATATCGGCAGGCCTCGGAAGACTGGCATCCTGTTCGCACGCCCATTCCTCCAGTAGTTGGCCTTTCACTCCTTCGCTGGAGTGTAACTGGTCATTCTCGTCAGTCAACCCTGCATTGCTCAGGCCAACAAACGTTTGGAAGTTGTGAAGCAGGCGATTGGACGGGTTGACCAGGACAAGGCGTTGACCTCCCCGGGCACGAATGCGGTGTCCCTGTGTAATGTACAGGTGCGCAAGCACGGCTAGCAAAAGTTCCCTAAGATGATCCTGCCTCCACTGCCTGCCTTGTTCCTCCGACTCCGGGATCTCAAGAAAGCGTAGGCCTGGCTGCCATCTGCCTAGAGGGTCCAGGGCGGCTGCCTCCCGGGCTGGAGTCCTGGAGGCCCGTCTGGTGCTGCGGATAACGGACTGCGGTGACAAAGAGGTAGACCTCCGTGAGTAGGCGGGCCGAGCTAACCAGGCAAAGGTTGAAGGCAACCCCGTTAATCGGTTCCAGGCCCTCGGCTTGATGCGTGCTTCTGGCAGCCCTCAACCTGGCAGAGGAGGCCCCCACCCGCAGCGGGCCGAGCTGTGTAGCCTGGACGAGACGGCTGGTTGCCTGCGCTACCGCTAGTGGAGGCACCAGTGAAAGCCCGGCGCGAGCAACCCCGCGGATACCAACATGCTTAAGTAGGAGCCTGTTGATGGTTTCATACTGTAGCTCGTTGCCTCCCCCCCCTGTTGGCTGCTGAGGATCACCTGTCCTGATGAGAAGCACGTCTTCCGCCGCCTCCGTCACATTGACGGATTCCGTACGCCCCTCCTGCTGCCCCTCATCAATGTCATTGATGAGGGGGCCAGATGCCATGGCTACGGCCACTTGCTTGAAAGGTTGGAGCTCCTACCCTCTGAGGTTGACACATCGCGCTGCCGAGCCTTCTTGCCGCTCATCAATGATGGCTACGAACTGCGCTTGGCCTTTCAGCAGCTGCATTTATACCGCTTCCCAGGTTTTTGTAGGAGCCAGCAAAGCGACTGGCAAAGAAACGTATCAGGAAAACATATAAATCGAATCAAATATCTTATTTCTTTCCTCAAACGTGCACTAAGGCGGGGAACACCCGAGCGTAAAGGGCGGAGCCCGTAAACTTGCGCTAACCGAGTCGGACTCTTCGTTTTACTCAAAAAGGGCAAAGGGGTAACGTCATTCGAGAGCAACCATGCTGGATGCCGTTTGGCATAACGAGCTGCCCCCAAGGAGGGCCAAGGGAGTGGCTTAGCAATGGTTGAATAAAAAGGTGAGGGCGGGCGGGACAAAGTTGATTCACTTCATGCCGAAGGAAATGGACTTCCCTCCCACCCTTCCCTTGAGAAGAAATGCGGATACGACAAGGTATTCGCAAGACTCAAAGGAAACAAAGTTGGAAAACTGGTGCACTCGGTTTTCAGAGAAAAACCGTTGATTGTTCAAAGGAAATAAAGATTTATCCCTACGCTCCGCTCCGGGACGAAAATCTTATTTCTTTCCTCAAACGTGCACTAAGGCGGGGAACACCCGAGCGTAAAGGGCGGAGCCCGTAAACTTGCGCTAACCGAGTCGGACTCTTCGTTTTACTCAAAAAGGGCAAAGGGGTAACGTCATTCGAGAGCAACCATGCTGGATGCCGTTTGGCATAACGAGCTGCCCCCAAGGAGCCCCAGAGAGCAGCAGCTCAAAAGGGCCAATCGCAAAGCAAAGAGTCTCTGCGGACCCCCTGCCTTATGAGATGTTGGAAGGAGTCACGACTCGGATCGTCTGCGCAATTTGAGTGGGTTGGCACACGACCAAACCACGGCCTGCATAACGATCGATCTTCCAGTCTCAAGAAAGACTCGACGATCTTCGTACCTGTCAAAGTAGAAGATCTGGCAGACGTCAAAGCTCCGCGAGCTGCTTCGTTGTCTAAGTAAAAGACAGAGTAGCTGTCATGGATATGCCTCTCCCAAAGGGTGAGTGCCGTCCACACAGCTAGCAACTCAATCTCATATATGGGATGCGAAGAGTGATGGTGGAGTCTCTCAGTAGAGGCTTGGTTCAGCTTGACTGAGAAAAAGGCTAGGGGCACGCCTTGACTATCGTGCAGAATGCCTCCCACACAAGCAAAGTTTCCCTCCAAGCTGCCGTCAGTAAAAATCAAGAAAGTTCGCTGCAAACTCCTCGAAATTTTTAGCGGCGCAGAATGGAGAGCTACGTCCCTGAGGAACATGAGGGACTCTCGGAGTTCTGTAGGCAGCATGCCTTTTGATGCACTTCGATTTACCCAGTCGCTCAGGACGTTCAAAGCTTGAGAAGATCTGCGTCCAAAAAGAAATGAAGTGTACCAGTGGAGCCTGCCTCGCAAGCTTTCGGCTTCAGCGTGCGAAAGGCGGTTGGACTCAAGAATGCGGGTGATTGTCGCACGCAGCTCATCCCCACGTTCTTGAGTATGACCGATGGTCACATATCACATATCCTTCGCCGAAATGGCTCAAATCGATGATAAGGCCGAGCGCTTTGAAAGCCTTTGCAAACACAGTGGCTTTCTTGCCAGCGCGTGCAAAGTACACGTGCAAAAGGTCAAGAAAACTGGTGGCTACTTCTTCCACTAGGTCGCAGTCGGAATCTTTGGAGAAAATCGGGAAATCGTCGAAATAGTTGGTCCATGGGATTCCCAGTGCGTGGGATCCCAAGAACCAGATCGCAGCTGCACATCTGAGAAAGCTTGACACACTGCCCGTCGCTCCGAAAGGCAAGGAATTCACTTTGAAAGTGCGAACGTGTCCGCTTGAAGTGTCTTTAACGCCAATCCGTAAAAGGTCACGATCGAAAGGATGTGTGGCGTACTGTTTGTACGCCGCAGTCAAATCAAGTGTCTTCCCTGAGATGCTAACGCCTTTGCTGCGAGGGTCAAGCATGGCTCGCAAGAGGAAGGCAGCGATGTATTCGACGCTCTGTAATCTGTATTTCTCAGGGATGCCTGCTAACAAGTTGAAAGCACAAGCACGGCAGTCGTCTATGACTCTGACCTTCGGACCTTGTAAAAGCCCAAACCGCTTGGCAACAAGGACCGTAGAAAGATCTGGGTTTTCGTCTTCCTCAATCCAACCTTTGTCAACTTCTTCAAGTGTTTCAGCCCAGGCACGACGAGACACCTCATCAGGAGCCTGTTTGGAGAGCTTCGTCAAGGTGGCGGTGTTTCTGGACTTTGCCATAGAGAGCTGACTCTTTAAGGTGGAGGCGGGAGGCTTAGGGTCAAAGGGAAAAAGACCCGATCTACAAACCCAGCCCGTAAGCCTAAACCCCTGCGTCATGTGCTTCACAAGGTGGCGGTCTGGAAAGTCGTGCTGTGTGAGCAAGTCGTCCATCAGCAGAGTTGGCTTTGCATCCAGAACCTGCGCCACATGGATGGGCCACTCCTTTTTGCACAAATCCTGGGATTCGGAGAGGTCCGACCGTAGCTCGGTCCAACGCTGAACTTCATGCAAACCTTTGTCTGGCTGTTTGACACTGCTGTTCAGAAGGTTGTCTATTAGCAAGGTCATGTGCGGATCGGCTTCGACATCAAGAAGGGATTTCGGGTGACCGGCTGCCACGGCTCGACGTAAAAAGTCATCCGGTTCACGGGGGATGCCAATCCATACAACTTCAAGCACTGGAGAATGCTCAGTCGGAGGCAATAAGCCGCAGACATCAGAGAAATCCTTGGTCGGTGTGCGCGCATCGTGCGTGCAATGCTTAGTGGACCATGTCCAGGGGCTCGACAAGACATCATTGACCTTGCACAAGTCAACAGAAGGTAAAACGCAAACCCGAACCAACCCCGGATCAACAAGTTTGCGTCTTACTGCACGGGCTCCTTTAGGGTAGCATCTCAGGAGCTGGAGCACAGGGTGCTCGGCACGAAGAGGCACTGCCCAAGCATCATATTTGCAGAATTCGCTGACCAATGGCCGGGCTTTACGAGATTGCTTGCCCATAGCAGGCCGTAGGTCACGACCTGGAGGACCAAACAAAGATGATGTAGTTGGAGTGAAGCCTGAGTGCTGGCACAGTAACTCTACAGCACGATCCCAAAGCAAATGAGGCCACTGTGGGGCCGAAGCAGCTTGACTATAATGCTTGTGGTCCTTGGAGCAGGTTGCCTGCAAAGGGCGCAACAAAGCAGTTGAGGCCCACCAGAAAGCGCGGCGATCCTGGGCCCCTCCATGCATGCATTGGTCAAATGTAGTCCATTCACCGTCTGCAGCTTGGAAGAAGCGTTGGCAAGACGGCATGTGCCAGAAGCGCGATGTAGCAGGGTGCAGAATCGCAAAAGGAACTCCCACTGCCCTGCAATGCGAACAAAGCTGAAAGACAGCATCCACCAGCAACTCAGCGAAACTCCATGATCCAGTCTTTGACGTGAAGAAGGTACTCAAGCACGGGACAGTGAACTGCACCAATGACGTAGCACCTGCGTGCTCGGAAATCACCTCCAGGAGCACCGCAAGCTCATCGGCCTGCGTTATGTCGAGAGGTTGAATTGGGAATTGGGCACGCTGGGGCTTAAGGTCGAAGGCTAGGGCTCTAAAGCCGGCTTTGTGCGCGGCTTTGCAAAAGGCGGCATCGCCAGCGAATACATCTATAATGACTCCAGAGACGGTATCAGAAGCAGCTGTGGTTGTATGGCTGAGTGCAGGAACCGAGGCAGGTGCATCGGTACCACCTGGGAGCGCAAAACCCAGGGACCTCAAACAGCTCTCATCTGAAACTGGAATTTTGGAAATTCCATACACACTGAAAGCCACAAGTACAAGACGGGGACCGTTGGTCCAGTCTAAAGTTTCGTGCTCTACCGTCGCATCAAACGTGACGGGCCCTGCTGAGACCAGCAAATCCTCAGGACCACTAGGGTGATGCAGCCTCACTGCACCACCGCAGAATGGGCGAAGAGGTGCAACGCCATTCAAAGACCCAGGAAGATTCCTGAGGTCACGGTGCCTGCGAGTTTTTACATCCTTGAAAAGGCCGACACTTGTGAAATGAAAATTCGGGAATACACTGGCGGCGAGAGTGGCAAGGAGACGCGAGGCCAGTGGGTAAGCTCGCGCATTATGCCTGACACCTACAGTGCCACAGTGGTAGTATGCTCCAGTCGTGAAGGCACGTCCTGACGGGGCGGCTCCATCACTTCGAGTTGGAGTCTCGCTTGGTAGCATGTTCGAGAGTTCAAGCAGTTGCTCAAATGAGCAGTTGCCATGCTCAAGAATTTTCGAAGCAAGTGACTCACAAGGGTCACCTGGAACACTGGATGTGCTCCCCATGAACGCAGCGAAGCTGAAATTGAACGCGGAACATGCCGCGTTGACATCAGCTTCAGGAGAAAGCACAGAGTCACGTTCGGAATCATCGTGAACATTTGTGAAAGGTTTGGTGACACTTTCGGCCTCATCTTGGCCGACAGACTTGGGGTGCTGCCCTGACACACGGAATTCACATGCAGGATTGGGGCTGCGAGATCGCAGCCTGGGCCCCTCAGAAGAGGGTGCAACACTGATAGGAGCTAGTCACTCCTTTGGGGAAGACGAATCACTCTTGTCGCCCTTTCCCTTGCCTTTCTTGCCTTTGCCTTTGCCTGCTTGGGCGAACCAGCAAGAAGAATGCCCATGGCCTAAGCGCCTGCACGTCATGCAACCGTGAACACCACGGCTGCAAGCAGGCGGACTGCCCTTGCACTCGGCATTGCACTTACCGAGATTGAACTGCCAACAGAACCGGTTGCCTGAAGAATCAGCATGGTACGGGCACGACTTCAACTCCTCAGGCAGATTTGCAGTTTTGATAGGGGCCTTGAGCTTAGCGTCTCTCTTCTTTTGGCGTTTGCTAGGCCTCAGATCAGGAAGGGATGATCCGACCTCACCTGCGAGACTCGGCGAAGCGACTCCCTGAGAGGCTGATCCACGCTGAAGTGGCTGAAGATAAGTGGTGATCCGAGGGTCATGACGGAACCGATTCATAAGAACATCCATCTCCATCACACCACTGCTGTCAGGTTTGACACGCTTGACCTCACGGGCTAAAAGCAAGAAGATTTCGGAATCTGCTCGCAAAATTTGCTGCATCGAAATGGGTGCGTACCCCGGAGGAACATCCGATGACAAACATCTAAGCAGAGACGCGACCCACTTCTCGTGAGTCTCCCACTCCATGAAGCCGCACATGAAGAAAGCCAAGCCTCGGCGCTGGAGACACCATTGGACCTCCAAGGGAGTCCCATGCTCAGCGACGATTTTATCTGGAGCCGGGGCCAAGGTGACTGATTGCTCCTGAACAGTCAAGTACTTTTGCTTGTCGCGAAGCCCTAGCTTGAGTTCGGCATCCCTCTTAGTGCACTTCGACGGTGGGATCCAAACCACCGCATTCGACTCGCCCATATGGGAAACTGCATCAATGAGGGCATGACTCGGCTCCATCTCATCCTCGATGACAAGGCCTTTCAAACGCCTCTTGGCATCCGCAAGTCGGGCGGATTTCTCTGCTGCCGGAAGTCTTTTTCCAGCATCTGTTGAATCCCCTTCTACGAGTGCGCGCAACTGGGCAATGACCAAAGTCGAGGATTCGAAATGAAGTCTTTTGAGCTGGCTCACGCGGCCTATGGACGCTGGGCTCCCGACAACTGACTCAGCAAAAGCCTTAAATTCTGCTTCCGTGGGTTGCGCCTTCGGAGTTCCACAGCTGAAGGCCAAGGCTGAGTGAGTTTGCACCCCCGAGGCTTGCAGCAATGTGTGAAGAGAATCGTCGCCACATATCTCCTTACACCTAGCTGCAAAAGCAGCCTCGCTGTCAACGAGGGTCATGGCAACTCTCAGCACTATGGGCTTGTCCGTCCTAATGAATTGAGACAAAGCTGCTGCACCCGACTCTCAGCGTGTGATCCATCAAGCAAACTCACATGTTGAGAGAGAAGGATCAAGACCAGAGAGAGAGGGAGGAGAGAGAGAGAGAAGAAGCGAGCAGAAGGGACGAGTTGCGGCACATCGAAGGGCAGCTGCCTGTCCTGATGATTTTGGCTCACGACCCGACATGAAACCCTCTACCATGACACGCAAACACTCTCTCTTTCCACTCCCTCAGCAAAACTCAGTCGCGCCCAGGGTTAGCTAGAGATCTCTTGCACTGCTTGCACACTGGGGTATCGTACCTCAGCCGGCCAGGCTCAATGAAGGGGCTGTCGATAGTTTGCAACGGTCTTCCGCACAGCGTGAAGCTGCGGTGCCCGGTCAACAACAAATGCAGAGTTTTGAGCTTGCGATGCTGCATGAAGAAGGTACCTTCAGGAGGCGAAGGCGGGGGCATCAGCCTGGGCTCCGGATTTTCTCCCTCAGAAGAATCAGACGACTCGGATGAGGAGCCTTCCGACGACGTGTCTCCGTCAGAGGAGACACCGTCATCGGGATTGACTTCGGAGATGTCTTCCGGAACTATCTCAAAAGATCCCTGCGGCGCTCGATCAGGCATGAGGCTCAGGTCGCCAACACCCTCAGAAAAATCGGGACTCGGAGGTTCTGTTCTGTCCGATTTCACACTCATGACTTCGCCTCCCGCCTGGGAAGTGCACGCATCCGACTTCACGGCCTTCGATGCATGTGACGGTGCCCCCAAGGAGACAAGATCCCACTGAGAGAAGCTTTCAAGACCCCTAGCGCTGCTGTCGCGATTGCTGCTGCCAAGGTGGACTTCATCTAGCGGCTGAGGTTCCGTGGGAACGGCATGGGCGACACCTGTGGGCAGCTCGGCCCCTATCAATTCCTCATTGGTGCGCCCAGGAAAACGAGCAGCCCTGCCAGCATCTGGTGCAAACTTTCCTAGCCTGATCTCAGACAGCATGCCCGCCAGAAGTCGCAATGGGCGTGCTAAGGCATCCCGCGCATATACATCAGCCATGTGAGCCCCATGGAAGTGCCCGCCTAAGGCCAGCCGGTCAGTGTGAGCCAACCCTCTCTTAGCTGCAAAAGACAACAGAGTGGCTTTCAAGCTGTGGGAGGTGGTGCGCCGGCCTTCACGCCCAGGCAATAGCTCTCGGAGCCACGCACCTGCTTCGTCAGATCCCAAAGCCCTGACCGTCGGGGCGCCAGATTTGTCGGGGGCGGGCATGCTTGGGTACCCTTTGTGGTACTCGACGCCTAAAGCCTTTCGGACCTCCATGAACACACAGAGCCAATCTTTGCCATCGAGGCCACGGCCTACCGCAACTAGCTCAAGACACTTCGGAAGTTTTGAGGAGAAATTCATTGTCTTATGCACATCGATGAAAGCTGAGCCGAACTCTGCAAAGCCCTGGTCGTTACACTCCAGAGAGAGCGAGTCAACATGTTGGAAGTCGCTCCATCGACACCTGGCGTAGATGCAGTAGAGGGACACTCCACACATGAGACGATCCCAGAGATCGTCCCCTTCGTAAAGTATTCGATGCATCTCAAGTATTTCTTCAACTGTGAAAGGGTCTGCCTTAGAGGCAAGAGTGGCTTGCTTGGCTGAGGACAGGCCCCAACATCTCTTGCTCTTGACACTGGCATGCAAAGTCGAAATGTCAAATGTAAAGTGCACGAAAGTGATCGCTTCCATGATGCCTCGCAAAGCTGACAAGGATGCACCACCGGCTTTACAATCTCTCAAAATCGAGTAAAGAGACGGCTCCTGCATGGGCATTGTTAAGCCTTCGGAAGCTACAGACTTGCCCAACATCAACATGCTATTTGCACGCTTGAGACATGTACTGGGAGCTTTGCGGGCCAAATAATCTCCCAGGAGGTCATGACAGGCCTCAGGCGAGGCGGCTTCCTGAAGCTGACGGGTGACAGGGGAAGATTCACTGTCCCAGCTTGCAAAAACTCTACACCACTTGATAAGCGCTCTGCTCAAGTCGGCTTCTCGCTGATCTCTCCAGGAGATCACAGCACGATTTAACACAACTCGCTCGAAGGTGACTGTAACAGCTTTGCGAGCACGTTTGGGCCCAGGCAGCTCATCTGCCTCTAAAGCCTCTTGCAGGAACTCCACCGGAGGGCTTAACCTATCAAACCTGGGAAAAGACAAGAAGTCGTCAGTCGTCACAACAGGCTTGAAGAAGTCGCTCCAAAAACCTTCATCCCAAGGAAACTTCGGAAGCTCGTCACGAAGGCCAAGGTGCGACGAGCGCAAAAGGTTCCTATAACCTTGCGGGTTATGCTCGATGCCACTGAGTACTGCAGGAAGCCCGGGCACAGATTCAGAACTCAAGCCAATACCACCCTCAAAGAAGGCATCAGCAGGCTCTGACTCAACTGCAAGCTCGGATGGCTCCCGATGTGAGCTGATGCACTCCCTGTCGCTCGAGAAATCAGGATTCGGGTTCCAAGAGACAAGATCGTCTTGCAGAGTATGCTCTACACTCGCGTCTGGGGCCTCTGACAGAAGCCTGAAGGCACTACCGGCAGTTTCTAAGTCCTCAAGAGAGCCAGGCTGATCCATGGCACCCGTCACAGGACGGGTTTTCCCTCCCCTAAGAACTACCCACCGGCACGCACTACGCCACCCCCCAGCACAAAGTTGATTCACTTCATGCCGAAGGAAATGGACTTCCCTCCCACCCTTCCCTTGAGAAGAAATGCGGATACGACAAGGTATTCGCAAGACTCAAAGGAAACAAAGTTGGAAAACTGGTGCACTCGGTTTTCAGAGAAAAACCGTTGATTGTTCAAAGGAAATAAAGATTTATCCCTACGCTCCGCTCCGGGACGAAAATCTTTCCAATATAAATCCAACAAGGCTTCGGACTGAGGACTCAACATTTTTTCCGGATGTCCAGATCGCGCCGTAACAGCGAGCCGAGACCGGGTCCCCATTCGGGGACCGGCCTCCACCCATAGCTCAAACGAACATCCCACCGGCGCAAGGTAAAGTTCCAGGGTGGGACGGGCGGGACTAAAACTTCTAAGCTCCCTCCTCCGGAGCCTCTATTTCACGGATATAATCGAATCAGTCATCAGAGCACTAAAGCAGTGCAAGTCAACATGAGAAAGCATGTGAAAGACCTACAGCAATCTCATGAAAGAAAGCTTGATGAGAGCGGGGGGTTCGCAGGCACGGGTGTTCTGAGCAGGCACTGCCTCTTCCCGAACCCCCACCCCTCAACAGGCGTGGGCGTCCACGACTGATGAGGATACCCCTGCAAGCCACCCCCCCAAGCCATCAGACCGAGGATTTGCGGAGCAGGTTTTTCTCCTCCAGACTTGCACTTGTGCCGCTTAGCCCGATTTGATCTATCGTAGGGGCTTAGGGCTTAGGGTTAGGATTTCATGTTCCGTATTCTTTCCACTCCACTGGCAAAACCAAACAATCAATCATGCGAGAAGCCTTTCTAGTCCCTGAAAATCATAGTCCCGCTTTTCGGGATCCGCGAAGCCCTTGCAGTCTTTCTGGAAGCTGAACTCCAGGCAGTCCTTTGGGGGCCTTTAAGCCCCTGCAGTCTTCGGCTCTACACTCTGTGGGGGTCCGGGGCGCTCGAAGCTCCTGCAGTATATCATGCGCCCTGAAATCCTGTTCTTGGGGAGCGGCCGAGCCCCCGCAGTCTTAAATCGCCCCTGCACACTGACCAGGAAGCCCCGAAGCTTTGCAGTACCTAGCCAACCCTAAAAGATTGCAGGCCTGCACAGTTTTGATTGAGCCATCAAGCCCCTGCCGTCATGGGGAAGCCATCATGCCTGCGCCGTCACTAAAGCATAGCATTGGAAGGTAGCCGACTTCGCGGTCGGCGGAATGTCCCAGTTAAGAGGCGGTCACATGAATATTGTCCTGTAGGGTTGCATTGTGCGGTTGTTACGGATGCTCTAGACTCAAGACCCTGAGTGGCCGTTAAATCTGCAAAGAATCAGAGATCGTACCCACTGCAGCGCGAACTGCTTAAGGCTTAGGTATTGGTGCTTCGTGGCTGGGGCGTGGCCACTATGTTTCAGAATCGGCAGCATCTTGAGTCTTTGAGTCAGGAAACATCGCTTCATCCTTTCTCAAAGGTGGTCTTTAAACACGGCTCTTCTATCTGTGGCAAGCTGCCAAAGCATGCGTTGCTAGCTCCGCAGGAACTATAATGGCTCCGAATAATTGCAACTGCACATTATGAGGCGTCACGCTGATAACCGCCGGCACGCTGCCCGCAACACATAAACCGCCGTGCCTGCGTGATATGAGCTTTCGCTCGGCATCTGGTCACATGTCCCAAGATGTTAACTGTTAACAACCTTCGAAGCGCGAAGTATTTCTTTCCCAATGAAGGCTGCCGCTGATACCCTCTGATGGCATGTTGTCTTGACCCGAGCTGACAATCTGTTGCAGCAGTAGCAAAGTGGTAAGCCAGCGGTGTTCCGTCGCCAAGCTTTCATTGCTTACTTGGCGCTTTCTTGTCGCTTTTCTTGTACCGGTGCAGTAGTAACTCCGTCGAACAGTTTCTCTCTCTCTCTCTCTCTCTCTCTCTCTCTCTCTCTCTCTCTCTTGTTTCTCTTGCCTCTTGCACTGTCTTCTCATGCTCTGTCGCAGACCTCGTTTCTCTCTGGTTTTTGCGGCGTCGTGGCACTTCCCCTGCACCAGTGCAGCACGCAAAACCCCTGAAATTATGCACCGCACTCTTGTCCTGAGCTTGCTGGCGGGGATCCCGACATGTCAGATCTACGACCTGCTCGAACCTACTTGGCGCACGAAGAGACGTGCGTCGCTTCACTCCTGACGCAGGGATTCAAACACACATATTGTACGTTCACGCGCAGGAATATCTTGCGGCTCTATGGAAGCTTCGCAGCATATTGACGTGTAGACGAGCTTAATTAGTCAAGCTATAAGTCCTCCTCCATGCTTCTCCTGATCTCGACAGTTACTGTGTACGGCGTACGGTGCACCGCGAGTACGTTGTTGGACATGTTTCACGACCATGGTTTGTCCAAAGAATAAGATGTAAGTGTGTAATTGTTGTGGTATGGCTTCTACAGGTTTAGAGCACGAGCGGTGTGCTTAGAAATGTTTCCCCGTGCAGTAATTACCTGCGAGTGTGTCGTTTCTGGATCAAATGTCCGGGCGTTGTCCAGACGGGTAATTAGTAATTGTTGTCTATTTCGGACACTGTGTTTGGGAACGCAGAGCGAACTGTGTACGGTTTTCCTGTTTGTCGCAGCACTGCGATTTTTCATTCAAGAAAAGCCATCGTTAGCACCTGCGCGCACGAACCCTGTTGACTGCTGTTGGCTCTTTGGCTCTTTGCTGAGCACCAGCATTGACAATAATCAACGACGGGCAGCGTGTGAGGGCTGTCAACACTTCTGAGTAGAATCGCCCCAGCTGTTGAGCGCCCGAGCCTTGGGCAATTAGGAGGATGCGGGCATCAAGCAGTGGGGGTGGCGAATCATCAGCGTCTGTCACCCCACTCCTCGAGTACGGCCTCCAGCCCGCCTCGGTGCCTTCCTCTGGGTGCTGGACCATGCGAGAAAAGCTCCTGCTTGCCAGAGACTCGCCGGACGAGAGACTCGCCGGACGACCATCAGGCGCCGCAACCACAATGGCGCATCCGCGAGGACGTTGTGCGAGATCATAAGCACGGCAAGCAGAGCCGCATGTTGTTGCGACGTCCATACCACCGGAAAGTCTAGGACGGCATCAATGCACATAATGGCGAGCAGCAGGGAGAACGTTTTCGAGGCTCCCGGACATCCAAGGATGTTGAGGGAGGTGCGGTTCGTGCCACGCGCTACCAAAATCGCTTGGATATGCGAAATGAGGAGGGAATCTGGGTCATCCAGTAGATTGTTCACGAGTTCGCAGAATGTGCGACCACGCAGATTCGCCGCCTCAAGGTAGACCGGCTGGACCTCGTCCGGCGGAACCTCCCACGTTCTCTCGAGTTGCCGCAATGACCGCGCCGCGAGGCACCTTTCCTGGGCGTCGCAGAGGTCTTGACGGTGAGAGAGCCAGTCAACGGCGGCTGCACGGTCTGGATCGAAAAGGTCATCACGCGCCGATGTCCTGCACGCTTGGAGGAAGGGCAACAACATATGCAGCTCCACGGAGAATGCGGCGCCACTGTGCGTGATAGGCTTGGAGGCATTATATGGGCTGGTACCCCCAAAGAGAGGGGGACGCGGCCCGTAGGTAGCGCGAGAACCCGCTTGAAAAGATCAAGACCGCCACCCGACTTCAAACAGACAAGTCTGTGGTAGGGAAGGATGACTGAGGAGGAGTGCTGCCTCGTAGGCGGGGGACCTAGAAATTCCGGCCATCGCCGGACAAGGATCTGCACATGCCCCGGGCTGAGCTTCCGCAAGTGCATGTCAGCGCCGTAACCGTAAGCTGGAATTCGCGGAACTCCCTGCAGCCTGCTTGGCGCTCCTTTGGTGTAGCTCTGCTGTGTGGCTCCCGCCGCCCTTCTTCAGTCGAGTCCGCGAGGGTGGCGCCCTTGCTAAAGAGGTGGAAGTACAGAAAGTCAACAACCCTGGGCAGGGAATGCTGTAGCAGGACCCGAGAGACCGGTGCAGGGAGCCCGCGCGTCAGGCCCGGCTCCGCTGTGATGTTGTGCAACTCGACTGTACTTAACAGCCACGTCTTAAGGTCGTGCACCGCCGTCAATGGCGGGGGCTGGCTGGATACCAGTTTGGCATGGAGGTCATGGGGCAGGGCCGGCCGAAGGCTCTCAAGGACCGCCTCCGAAAGCTCCGTTTGCGGAAAGAGGGCCCGCATAACCTGCATGTGTGGCGAATCGCCAAGCTTCTTGGGCTTGCCCAAAGGGGTTTGTAGGATGCAAAGGGGAGGAGGGTGGGCCCCAAAAGAAAGTTTTAATTGATTTTTTCAATACGATTTCCTTTCCGATTTTCCGCACGTTTCTTTCATGAGATTGCTGTAGGTCTTTCACATGCTTTCTCATGTTGACTTGCACTGCTTTAGTGCTCTGATGAATGATTCGATTATATCCGTGAAATAGAGGCTCCGGAGGAGGGAGCTTAGAAGTTTTAGTCGGTGGGGGCGCGACCATGGGGTAGCTCCATGGCCACAGCTTCTGCGGAAGCCGGCAGAGGTCAGGCCTGCTGGAATGTGTTCCCTGCCGAATGGGTCGAGCGATTGCGTTCGAAGTATTCCCAGCCATTGGTTGCATTAGAGCTGCTTGAGAGTCCAGAGGGCTTCGAAGATGTGCTTGGAGTCATTTCTGGAAATGATATTTTGCAGACAGCACTGCTACGGGGACGGCTGCAGGCACTTCGTAATCAGTTGGCTGTCAAGAGGAAAATTGTGCAATCACAGGTGAATGCAAGGTTCAAGAAGCCTCGTCTGCCTGTACATCAATCTGACTCTTCGAGAGCGCAGGAAAATTTTGCAGTTGCCGCGAATGCACTGGTACCATTTATCCGGAAGCGTGGGAAGTCAGGTTTGGGCAGGTCTCTGCTTGCTGTGGAGGATGATCCTGACATTCTTGAGTCCAGAGAGCGCGAGCGATGGGTGGAAGTGCTCAGTACTTACATCATTGATGCTCAGTTGCCTGTAGTCTCCTTGATTGAAGGTTCAGAGGATCGTCGGCAAGCCTGGCGCAGGGTGTTCGGAGCCCGGAGGGCCAAGACCTTGAGGAACCGTGCAAGATCCTTTAAGCATTACCGCATGTGGTTGGAGACGGTCAGAGGTTTGGCCTGGCCCTCACGCGTCTCAGACGTTACGGATTTTCTGGAGGAACGTTCGAAGGATGGCTGTGGGTTCAGTGTGCCTGGGGAGCTTCTGGCTGCTTTATCTGTACTGGAGTCCGTGGGCAGAGTTCACATGAGGGATAGGTTCTCCTTGGATGAGACAGTCAAGGCCGTGGCGCAGTCCATTACCGAGGAACTGCAGGGCCGTGCGGCGCCACGCCGCCCAGCCAAGTTGTATACGATGGCCATGCTTATTGCTTTAGAGATTCATGTTTTGGACGAGGATGCTTCTTTGTTTTCGCGAATCATTGCCTGGGTGATTTCTTTGCAACATTGGACTGCTATGAGAGCTGACGATGTTCAATGGTTGGATCCGGGGCGTATGACGCTCACTGATAGCGGCCTTTCCGGAGTACTTAGACGGACCAAGACCACGGGTCCTGGTCGCAGGGCACGCGAGGTGCCTGTCTACGTGGGCCGCGAGGTTTCGCTCTCAGGAAATGATTGGTTGCAAGTGGGCTTTGCTCTGTTCAAGATGCCGGAAGTTTACTGGGAGCGCATGTATTTTCTTCCTTTTCCTTCTGCAGACTGGACTGGTGGAGTCAAGAAGCATTTGTCACCTGAGATGCTGAATGTATGCATCAAGCGGGTACTTGCAGAGCTATCTGTGCCCCAGCGAGGAGAGCATGCTTGGGTCAAGAGCTCCATGAGTTTGCTGCCTCAGGAGCTGTTGCCGTACTGGTCCGGTCACTCTGCAAGACATTGGCTGCCTTCTTGGGCGGCCACACTTGGGGTTTCAAAGCCAGATAGAGATTTCCTGGGAAGGTGGCAAGCTGGAGTGCATGAGAGCAATGAGTACATTGTCACCTCGCGGGAGGTGGTACACCGTGTGCAGATGCAGGTCGTGGAAGGTGCTGCAGTGGGCCACTCCGGAATTGATGAGCGTCCGCTGCTAAATGAGTTGCAGGAATTTGCAAACACACGCGGGGTCAGCTTTGCCAGAGGGGCTGCCCGCCACCGTGTGTGGCGGACGAATGACTCAGGACATCGTGCTTTGCTGCTAGGGTTTCCACTTGATTATGAGCATATCACCGAAGGGCTGGACGTGGAGGCTGCACTGGAGGTGATCGTGGAAGATGAAGATGGGCTAGATCCCGATGTTTCGTGCTTTCCTTATTGGGTCTCTATTTCGAGACGCAGCCAGTTTCGGCGGCTTCATGCCAAGGATAAGTGCGGGATCATGCCTTGGAGTGTTTTTCGTGCAGAAGGTTTCAGAAGTGTTGATTCTGCCAATGCCGATGCTTGGTGTAAGACTTGTTGGAAGAAGGTGTCATGTGAAGAGGCTTCGGCCTCTCAGGAAGTTTCATCCTCGGGATCCTCCTCCAGCACCGAGTTGGAAGAGCCTGAGCAAGCGTCTCAGGAAGAGTGATTTCTGCAGGGGGCCTAAACTGCGCGCTTGTTCGGTGCCCGTGCTGGTCGTCTGTTCTGCCTTTTAGCTCTCTGCACGCATGTACTGTGAGCGCTTGGAAGCAACTCGGAAGTAGTTTTGCGGCTGAAAGACCAGAGCCGAAGGGTCGGATGCTATAGGAGTGGCATCGTAGGGCATGGCCGATGATGCGGCACGTCGGGCATATGTTGCTCAGCATGTCAGTGCTGATCTTGTTTATGTATGGGAGGAAATGGGCGTAAGCTTGCTGCATCAGCGTGAGCTCGGCGAGCGCTATCGCAGTGTTGCCCTGCTCTCTTCCATTGCAGATACAAGAGCGGACGCGCGGACCGCGCTTCGGGCTGAGGTGACTGTCGCTGATAATGCCGATGGCAGAGCGGCAGTGGCAGGTCTGGTAGCAGCGTGGCAGAGTTGCTACGACATGGCTGATCAAGAACGTCGGCTGAAGGCTGAGGCACATGTTCTTGGTCTTCCAAAGCCGCTCCCATCGAACGATCGGATGGGTATGCGTCATGCACTTGAGAGGGTTGTTGGCGCCTTGGAGGAGAAGGACGAACCTAGCTCCACGTATCTTGCATTGAAATTGGAGGAAGTTGAGGCGGGAGAACTCCGTGCTGCGGTACTTGATGAGGTGACCAGCGTCTCCGATGAGGTCAATGCTCAGTTCCAATCCTCAGTAGACTCATCGGGCCGGTTACGGCTTGTGAAGGAGCGCAAGAAGGCCAAGCTCCCAGCTACTTCGGAGGAGCTCCGTCAGCGGCTACGTCTTGAGTGTCATGCTTTTCTGATGCTGGCTGCTAGGTTCCGCACCAAGCCCTGGTTTGTGGACCTCCGGGTGCAGGACTTTACAAAGCATGTCGATTATGTGTTGGGAGGTAAGATCTTTCTTCTGCAAATGTCTCGGCCTGACGGCGCCTCGGGCACTCAGTCGGTCAATCCTTCTTGGACTCTCTTGTTGGGCTTCGAGCATCGACTCCGCAAAGAAGCATACAAGCGTGCTTGCAGGGACAATCGAGATATCTCCACAACACTGGCGGAAGTCAGAACGGATGCAGCACTGAAAGAGACCTACTTTGTAGGACCGTTGGCGCTGGAGCTGGCCAGTCGAGGATCTTCTTCCACGGCACCGCCTCCGCCAGCGAAGTGGCCTCGGCTTCAGGATCATGTACCAGGTGCAGAAGCAAGTGCAAAGGGTAAGGGTGGCAAAGGCCGCGGAAAGGGGGGCAAAAGCAGCCTCCGCATCGGCTATCCCTCGGCCAGGGGGTTCGTGTTTAGCAGCACGCCGGATGGGCGACAGATCTGCTATGCTTACAACAACGGCACATGCAAAGGCGATTGCGGTCGAGTGCACGTCTGCCAATTATGCCTGAAGCCGCACCCTCGCAAAAGCTGCAAACTGCAGAAAGACAAGGGTGGTGCTGAGGACAATCAGCCAAACTGACTAGCCACGGATGTGGCCGTTTCATCTGCTTGGGAGTGCTGGGATCTGGAGCCGGTCAAATCGGACAGGGCCTTTCGTTTTCTGCACTTTTACTCAGGCGGGCGTCGTCATTCCAATGTCCGGGAATGTTTGCAGCGAGAAGCCAAATCACTTGGAATTCGATTGTATGGTCTGGAAGTTGATCTTATGGGAACCTCCCTTAAGAGCGACACTGGATCAGGTTTCAGTGCGGAATTGCAACTGTTGATACAGGAAGCTTCCGTGATCTTGCTGGTCCCGGGGGTCAGCACCCTCAGCAGAGCTAAAGCTCACTGGCGCACCGCCGGTGGGCCCAGGCCGCTTCGCTCTTTACAGTATGTTTTCGGGTTTCCTTGGCTGTCGGATAAAGATCGTTCTACGGTCGAGGAGGCTAATTTCGGGGTGCTGAAGTGCTTCGAAATTTGTTTCATTCGCCTTGAGCTTTGCAAGCCATTCATCTTTGAGCACCCGGAACAACTGGGCGCGGTTAACGACTTCATTCCTGCTTCGGTCTGGGACTTCGATGAATTCAAGCAGCTTCTACTTCTGGATGGGGTGCAATCGGCTGCCTTCTTTCAGTGTCAGTGGGGTGCACCTTCGAGTAAGCCCACTCGCCTTTTATGGAGCCGTCTGGACTGGTGTGAAGCTGCCCTTTTTACGGGGCCGCCTGAGCTTGCGGCGGATGGCCGATATCGCGGGCCTCTTCCGCCCTCCTGCGGTCATCGTCATGATCGCTCACTGGGCAAAGACCTCGCAGGTACTTGGGCCACCGCCTCGGCAGCTTATCCTTCGCTGATGTGCGCCTGGCTTTCCAAAAGCATGCTGCGTCTCTGTCGTGTTGATGGGGCTGGGGACGCATCCACTTTTGGGCGCAGGCCGTTGGAGCAAGCCACCTGGGATTCAGATGACTCCTCGGACGGGGAGGGACCGAAAGACGACTTCGAGCTCTCGTCCTTGCTACTGGAGCTGCCGGCGGGCTCTTGGCCCCCAGCAGGGGAAACTTCGGATGCGGAAAGTTTCGCGGCTCGGCTCCTCAAGAAGGGCAGGGTCACTGTGGAAGACTTCGAAAAGCTCTGTGGGCTGCTGCCGTCGGACCCCGAGGTTCGCGCTACAGCCGGGGATCTGACCTCAAAGACTTTCATGAGTGGCTTCTTTCAACATGGCGGAGTCATCGGGCTTCGCACGCATGTGTCCAGCCACCCCTGGGTTACGGCACTTCTTTGCGGAATTCTTCGCGCTGCACTTCCAGGTTACGCTTTTACTTCGGTGGTGGTGTCTAGGAACCGCCAAGTGCTTCCACATTGCGACAGTCAAAATGGTGCCAACACTTGGCACCTGCTGGTTCCAGCTTCCCGATTTAAGGGGGGAGGGGTCTGGCAAGAAGTGGATGGCGGACTCGAGCCCCTGGAGTACGAGGGCGAGCAGCGCTGGGGCAAAATTCTTCCGGTGGCCACGGGCCCTCAACTTCTGGATCCTCGTCAACTCCATGCTACGATGTCTTGGAAGGGCGTGCGGACCGTGATCATTGGGTTCTCGATCCGGGAGCCTGCGAAAGCTAGCCGTACCTTGAGGAACACCTGGAAAAGGATCTCAGGACTGCAGGGTGTGTCGCAGACGGATGAAGCTGTTTCGGGCGGGCTTACACCATCAGTCCGTCTTCTCGAGCGGGGAGCTGGAGAGGAGGGTGACACCTTCCATGGTCATCTGGTCCAGGCTCGCAAGGACAACTTCGGCGATCCCATCACCGTGCAATGGCGAGGCAAGGTCCATTCCTTCGTTGATGGTTGCGGACTTAACAGTCCGGGTCGCTGGCGCCCGACCGCTCGGGGCCGGGGGCTCACCAAGGAAGCTGACGAGTTCGTGAATGCTCTTCGGAGTCTTCTGGATGATTTCATCAGGACCGAGATCGTGGACCCCAAGCGGGCATATTTCATGTTGGCCCTGGGCAAGTACGAGGAAGCTCCCTTTTCTGCTCAGGCCATGGATCGTCTTCGTAAGTCTTGGTTCTCTCTGCTGGAAGATCCTTCAGCGGCCGCTCACCAGGAGCCTGGGCAACCTTTCTTCCTGGAGGCGCTCTCGCAGACTTGTCGGGCTATGGGAGATGAAGACTGGGAGGTTCTCACACGTGCAGAGGACAACTATGCTCGTGGGCGGAGACTGGGAGTGGACCGGCCCTTTCCTCGCGTAGTGGCGGTCTTCAGGCCAAAGGGGAAATGGCGAGAGTATGACGAGTCTGAGTTTCAGGCAATCAATGAGAACTACTCTTCGGCCAAGGCCGTGCCCGAGCAGCTGGAGAAGCAGTTCGAGGAGGAGGAGGCCCTTGGATTCATGTACCCCTTGTCTGAGAAGGAGGCGCGACGGCGGTTTGGGGAGACGCTGCGGGTGGCAAGTCTCGGAGCTATCATAAAGGACGATGGCTCAGTACGAGCCCTCTTTGACGGCACTCACTCCGTCAAGCTGAACAACATGATTAAGATCTCTGATAAGCTTGAATTCCCTACACCTTCGACTGCCGCGCGGGCAATGGAAATCCAGCAAGAAGATGGTCATCGACTCCTTATAGGAATCGCTGCGGACATTGCAAAAGCACATCGGAGGTACAAGCATGCACCCGAGGATCATGGCTACCTTGGTTGTCGGGCCAGGCCAGACGGCCCGATCTGGATTAACCGGGTGGGAACGTTCGGTGTGGCCTGCGCTGCTTATCACTTCGCCAGGTTGGCTGGGCTGATAGGCCGTGGAGCTCTTCGCATTGCACTGCAGGCCTCGCTTTTCCAAATGCTCTTCGCAGATGACTTGCAGATCATGGCGGGTGGAGAGCAGAAGTACCACGACCTTTGGGTGGTGCTCCTCTACTGGCTTATGGTTGGAACTCCTTTTAAGTGGTCTAAGTTTCGTGGGGGAGTTTGCTTGGATTATGTTGGTTTCTACTTTGATTACTTCCGGTTCAAAGTGGGACTGTCGGAGCGTCGGGCGAACTGGCTCATCGAATTCATCACGGATCTGCAGAGGGGCCGAGGGATGATTGAGCATCGGCGCTTCACCGAGTTTGTGGGGCGACTGGTCTATGCTGGGCAAGTTCTGTACTGGCTCCGACCGTTCATGGGACCGCTTCATCGCTGGAAAGCTGCCATCACTCCAGGAACTGTGGCCTTGGTACCTCGTATGGTGATGGTGGTCCTTCGCTACATCTTGACCTTGTTGCAAGAGAAGCATTATCTTGTCTGCTGTAAGTCGCCACCTTTGATGCTTCGCGAAGCATTTCGCACGGACGCGAAAGCAGAGGATGATTTCTTCGTACTGGGTGGATGGGAAACTCTGCACAGCTTTGAGCCAAAGAAGTGCCGTTGGTTCTCTGTCCGGGTCACTGCCGCTGATTATCCATTCTTGTTCAATGCACAAGGGACGGCGAAAGGAATGAGCACAGTTGCCGAGCTTCTGGCCACGTGGCTGGGGCTGCACTTGTTCGGATGGCTGGATGGGACTGGGCAGAGTTTCACGGTCTCTGCGGGGACCGACAACC